AGGAATGGGGGAATTTTGGGGCCATTGAGGATTATGGGAATAGAGGAGTTTTGGGGAGATGGAGGTTTTATGGGAATGGAGGAGTTTTGGGGCCATGGAGGTTTATGGAAATTTAGGAGTTTTGGGGAGATGGAGGTTTTATAGGAATGGAGGAGTTTTGGGGCCATGGAGGTGGGTTATGGGAATGGAGGAGTTTTGGGGCCATGGAAGTTTATGGGAATGGAGGAGTTTTGGGGCCATGGAAGTTTATGGGAATAGAGGAGTTTTGGGGCCATGGAGGTGGGTTATAGGAATTTAGGAGTTTTGGGGCCATGGAGGTGGGTTATAGGAATTTAGGAGTTTTGGGGCCATGGAGGTTTATGGGAATAGAGGAGTTTTGGGGAGATGGAGGTTTATGGGAATTTAGGAGTTTTGGGGCCATGGAGGTGGATTATAGGAATTTAGGAGTTTTGGGGCCATGGAGGTTTTATGGGAATAGAGGAGTTTTGGGGCCATGGAGGTTTATGGGAATGGAGGAGTTTTGGGGCGATGGAGGTGGGTTATGGGAATGGAGGAGTTTTGGGGCCATGGAGGTTTTTAGGAAAGAAGGAGTTTTGGAGCCATGGAGGTTTTATAGGAATTTAGGAGTTTTGGGGCCATGGAGATTTTATAGGAATGGAGGAGTTTTGGGGCCATGGAGGTAGATTATAGGAATTTCGGAGTTTTGGGGCCAAGGAGGTGGGTTATAGGAATTTAGGAGTTTTGAGGAGATGGAGGTGGGTTATGGGAATGGAGGAGTTTTGGGGCCATGGAGGTGGGTTATGGGAATTTAGGAGTTTTGGGGCCATGGGGGTTTTATAGGAATTTAGGAGTTTTGGGGCCATGGAGGTTTATGGGAATAGAGTAGTTTTGGGGAGATGAAGGTGGGTTATAGGAATGGAGGAGTTTTGGGGCCATGGAGGTTTATAGGAATTTAGGAGTTTTGGGGCCATGGAGGTGGGTTATAGGAATTTAGGAGTTTTGGGGAGATGGAGGTTTTAAAGGAATGGAGGAGTTTTGGGGCCATGGAGGTTTATGGGAATTTAGGGGTTTTGGGGCCATGGAGGTGGATTATAGGAATTTAGGAGTTTTGGGGAGATGAAGGTGGGTTATAGGAATTTAGGAGTTTTGGGACCATGGAGGTGGATTATAGGAATTTAGAAGTTCTGGGGCCATGGAGGTTTTATGGGAATTTAGGAGTTTTGGGGCCATGGAGGTTTTATAGGAATTTAGGGGTTTTGGGGCCATGGACGTGGGTTATAGGAATTTAGGGGTTCTGGGGAGATGGAGGTGGGTTACAGGAATTTAGGAGTTTTATGGGGTCGTTTCTGGGATCTCCGTGGGCGCCACAGCCCCGAGGTGACCCCGGTGTCCCCGTGTCCCCCAGGATGAAGGAGTGGTGGCTGCAGGTGGGGCTGCTGGGCGTGCCCCTCCTGGCCGTGTACCTGCACCTCCCTGCACCCCAGCTGTCCCCAGCGCTGCGCTCCTGGAAATCCTCCGGCAGCTTCTTCACCTACAAGGACCTGAACATCTTCTACAGAGGTGACAGAGCCACCCATCCCCCTGGGGACATTCCACACCTGGGCCAGGTGGTGACAAATCCCTCCTGGTTTTTGCCATCCTGGATCCTGGGGATGGATCAGAACGTTTCTGGTCCATCCCCATCTGGTCACTGGGGAAAGTTGGTTCTTGTACCTTGGTGGGAAGGATCCCAAGATGGATCCATCCTTCTCCTCTGGGTGTTCATAGCTGAAATTGGGATTCCACCTCCAAAATTCTGAACATCCAAGGGTTGCTCCCAGGCAAAATCTGCCAGTTCCATCAAGGCTGGCTGGCTTTGGCCTCTGCTGGCTGCCCCTGCAACTCTGGGGCTCGGTTCTTTCCTTCCTGTGGAGATCACTGGGACACAACATGGAGAAGACACGGGAAACCCTTTTTGCAGCATGGAAAAGCCACTGGAAACCCTTTTTGCAGCAGCACAGAGGCTGCTGGAGTTAATTTGGGCTAATTAAATCCCTTTATCAATTTAAAATCCATAGATTTGAAATCAATCCCTAAGCCGGTGAGGTTTCCGAAGGGAAGCTGTGGTGGGACTCAAACCCATCCTTGTTTTTGGGGAGCAGAGGTGGATTCCCAGTGGGATGGGCTCAGTTCCCGTCCTAGAAGGGAGGGATTTTGGGAAGAGCTGAGCCCAGGGTGTCCCTCTGTCCCCGCAGATTCCAGCGGCGCCGTCGGCAGCTCGGACGTCGTGGTGCTCCTGCACGGCTTCCCAACGTCCAGCTACGACTGGAGCAAGGTCGGGGCTGGGATCTGACCCCAAATCCCAGGGTTACAGCTCCAGGCAGCACAGCAGGGCTGGGCCGTGCTCCAGAGCAGAACTCCTCATTTCTGCTGGAGGCACCACCGTGCTCCAGGATTTCCCCTTGCTCCTCTCCCAGTGTGAAATCCAAGCTCTTTCCACACCCCACATTCCAGGAAAACACAACAATCCCTTGGTTTTTTTGGGGGATGGTGGGGCTGGTTATTGGGGAATGTTGACCTGCTGCTGTTTTCTTGGAGCTGGGATGTTCTCTGGGCTGCTGGGAGGAGCACGTCCATCCATGGCTGCTCACCCTGCAGATGTTTCCATCCTCTGCTCCCACTGGATGATTTTCCAATGCATTTCTCCTCTTCCCAGATCTGGGAGGGGCTGACCCAGCGCTTCCACCGGGTGATTGCCCTGGATTTCCTCGGATTTGGGTTCAGTGACAAGCCTGTGAGTACCCTGGCATGAGGATTTTCATGGTTGCTTTCGGCCCAGCGCTCCAGAAAACTGGTTTTTTGTTACAGACATCTTTTATGAAAAATTGTTTTTAAAAGATTTTTCCTCCTGAGAAGCTGAGAGGCCTCAGGAACAAAATGCAAACATTGATTATCTGCTGCTGTGGAATGCAACAGGTGCATCTGTGATTGGGCTCATGTGGTTGTTTCTAATTAATGGCCAATCACAGTCCAGCTGGCTTGGACTCTGTCTGAGACACAAACCTTTGTTATCATTCTTTATTATTCTACTCTTAGCCAGTCTTCTGAAGAAATCCTTTCTTCTATTCTTTTAGTATAGTTTTAATGTAATATCTATCATAAAATAATAAATCAGCCTTCTGAAACATGGAGTCAGATCCCCATCCTGGGACTCCTGTGAACACCAGCACAGCTTTTGCCATCCAGGAGAAAAATTGGTTTTTCTCCTCCCATTCCCTCTGGAAAAGGGATAAATCATTACAGCAGTGGAAGGGACAGGGAAGGTTTGTGGTGGGTGGGTTTGATGGGACTCCAAATGCACCTTGACCCTCTGGAGCACGGACAATGCCCCCGTGGCCTTGTGGACATCCCAGGATGGGATGGGCTCCCAAGTGGTTCTGGATCTCCACATTCCTCCCTTGGGACATTTCTTCTGTGGGCTGAGGGCTCCTGCTGGGCCAGGCTCTCACTGGGACCCCTCTCCCCCCTTGCAGAGACCCCATGGCTACTCCATCTTCGAGCAGGCCACCATCGTGGAGGGGCTGCTGCGGCACCTGGGGCTGCGGCACCAGCGCATCAACCTCGTGGCGCACGACTACGGCGACACCGTGGCCCAGGAGCTGCTCCACAGGTCCTGCCCCCCTCCTGCCCTCTGCTGTGCCCACCACCATGATCTCCAGCAGATAAGTGGAAGGATGTGGTGCAGAATTCCCTTTTCCTTGTGCCTGAGGTGTCTCAGCCAGTTCCCAAAGGAAATGGAGATGATCCCACACAGTTGGAGCTCCTGCTGGGGCATTTCTGGGAGCCTGGAGAGGTTTGGTTGTGTTTCACCTTCTTCTCTGCTGTCCCCAGGTATGAGCACAACAGAACTGGGAGCATCCTGATCAACAGCCTCTGTTTGTCCAACGGAGGTGAGGTTTGTGCCGGGTGGGATGGGGATCCGTGGGATGGGAANTCAGACCCCACAGCCTCCCAATGACCCCACGTTCCCCCCCAGACCCCAAACGGCCCCACAGGACCCCTCCAACCCCAAAGGGGATCGACTTTCCCTCTCGGATCCCAAACATTTGCTGGATCTGCCACCCTGGGACATGCTGGTTATAGGAAAGGGGGAGTTTTGGGAACAATGGAGGTTTTTAGGAATGGGGGAGTTTTGGGGCCATGGAAGTGGGTTATGGGAATTTAGGAGTTTTGGGGCCATGGAGGTTTATGGGAATGGAGGAGTTTGGGGCCAAGGAGGTTTTATGGGAATGGAGGAGTTTTGGGGCCATGGAGGTGGGTTATGGGAATTTAGGAGTTTTGGGGCCATGGAGGTTTTATAGGAATTTAGGGGTTTTGGGGCCATGGAGGTTTATGGGAATTTAGGAGTTTTGGGGAGATGGAGGTTTATGGGAATGGGAGAGTCTGGGGCCATGGAGGTGGGTTATAGGAATTTAGGAGTTTTGGGGCCATGGAGATTTTATGGGAATAGAGGGGTTTTGGGGCCATGGAGGTGGGTTATGGGAATTTAGGGGTTCTGAGGCCATGGAGGTTTTATGGGAATTTAGGAGTTCTGGGCCCATGGAGGTGGGTTATGGGAATTTAGGAGTTTTGGGGCCATGGAGGTGGATTATAGGAATTTAGGGGTTTTGGGGCCATGGAGGTTTTATGGGAATGGGAAAGTTTTGGGGCCATGGAGATGGGTTATAGGAATTTAGGAGTTTTGGGGCCATGGAGGTGGGTTATGGGAATGGGGGAGTTTTGGGGCCATGGAGGTTTTATGGGAATAGAGGAGTTTTGGGGCCATGGAGGTTTTATAGGAATGGAGAAGTTTTGGGGCCATGGAGGTTTTATAGGAATGGGAAAGTTTTGGGGAGATGGAGGTTTTATAGGAATTTAGGAGTTTTGGGGCCATGGAGGTGGATTATAGGAATTTAGGAGTTTTGGGGCCATGGAGGTGGATTATAGGAATTTAGGNGAGCAACAAGAGCAACCCCTCGTACCTGGTCTGGTCCTGCTCGGCTCCTTCCCACCTCAAACAAGGAATTTTCACCCCCAAAAAGCCTTTTTACCCCCCAAAAAGCCTTTTTATCCCAAAATAAGCCTGTTTTTTCCCTAGATCTTGCCTTTTTCACCCAAAATACCTTTCCAGAGAGCTCAGGAGTGCAGCTTACAGCTCCAGGAGCAGCCCCATGTACCCAGTCCTGCATGGCTCCTATCCTCCCCAAACAAGGAATTTTCACCCCCAAAAAAGCCTTTTTACCCCCCAAAAAGCCTTTTTATCCCCAAATAAGCCTTTTTATCCCAAAATAAGCCTTTTTTTCCCCTAGATCTTGCCTTTTTCACCCAAAATCCCTTTCCAGAGAGCTCAGGAGTGCAGCTTGGAGCAACAAGAGCAACCCCTCGTACCTGGTCCGGTCCTGGCGGATCCGTTGGGATTTTCTGACATGGCTTTGATTCTGGAATGATTCTGTTTCCCAAGGAATTGGCTGCTCAGGGCTTTGGAGAGGAGGGGAAGGAGAGCAGGGAGAAGGGAGAGAGCTCCTGGAGGCAATGAATGCTCCCAAGGATGGACAGGGAATTTTTGGCACCCGGGGATCTCTCGGGTTACAGCGGGGACAGAGAGGATTCTGTGCTGGGCATTCAAATCTGCATCCAAAGGGTGTCATCTGTCCCTGAGAAACCAAAGGGGAGAAGCCTCCACTCCCCTGGCAACACAAGGTGCCCATTCAGCCTGCCCAGAGGGAGAAAAACCCCTCCAAAAATAAGAGAAGAGGGAATAAAAGAAGCGCGCGGAAAAGATCCGCAAAACAAAAAAAAACGAGATTTTTTTTCTCAGCGGAAATAAAAAGCCAGCAATGAAATCTCAGTCAACAGAGCGTTCTGGAAAGCTCAAGGTCAGTTCTCTTTTCATTTTTTTTCCCCCCATCCCCTCCCAAAAGAACTGAAGTGTTTGGAAAAACCAACCTGAAGCCAACAAACAAGGCAAGGACAAAGCACCTTATTTATTTGAGAGCACCAAATAAATTCCCTCAGAAAGTGGGGCTGGGAACTCAACCTGAGCAGTTCAAACCCCAATTCATGGAGCTTTCAGCTCAATTCAGGGCTTTTTTCACCTCCATAAATGCAGCTTTGAGGTTGAAGAGCTTTCCTGGCTCCTCATGGGAGAATAAACTGGGAATAAAGTCATAAATCACTGATTTTATGGAGAAAAATGATTTGGGAAGCCTGGGTTTGGTGGGAAAATAGAGAAATAAAAATAATTTAAGTCTTCATTAGTCTGAACAACATAAAGTCTTCAAAATATCCCTGTTTAGTAATGGAATAGTAACATAAACACAATACTATTACAATAGTAATGGAAACACAAGGAAAGAGCTCAGGTTTTATCTTTTTTGGAGTATTTCGATAGGAAATTAAATTATTAAATTTAATTAATTAAACTTCGATAGGAATTTAAATTATATAAAGATAAAAGAGCTCAAGTTGTGACCTAAAAGTGAAATAAAAGTCCCAGAAATGATCCATAAATCATCATCCCAGATCACTCCAGCCTGGATTTCTTAGCTCAGAGAGCTTCCAATAACACAATAAAATAACCAAGAAGGATCTGGGTGATCCCTGCCTGGATTTTTTCAATGAAATCTGTGGAGATTTCCAAGGAAAACCTCCTGGAATTCATCTCCTGCCCTTTGAGTTTTCAACCAAGCCATTTTTAACCCATCCTGCTCCTCCCCAGGTACTCACTTCTTTTGATCTCTTCCAATTTTTCCATGTATTTCGACAAACTATTTCCTGTAACCAAAAAAAAAAATTAATTTATTACAATTAGAGGTGTCCTTCAGGCCCATAGAGGCTTAAATTTTAATTGCTTTGAAGGGAACAGCTGTTTGTTGCAGATCCTCTTTC